CTTCTCACACTACACTGCTGGCTCTTCCCTCTGAGAAATTTTTGGGGGAAAACCAGGTATAGTAATAAATAATACCTCAAACTAAAGTTAGGATAATATAATTGACATTGCTGGATTCCTTGTAAGACCAGGAATATTTTGAATATAAATGTCATATATTTTTCACAAAAGACAACATATTTACTCAGATTAAACATTTTATCTAAAATTTGTATGTCTAATGCAAAATATATGATGTTTATATTCAAAATGATCACCAAATTATAAGAATTCCAGCAATGTAAATTATATTCTGGCCGGGTAATTTGTATGAATTTTATGAGCTAAAACAAATATCTTCAGTTAATAATAAAAAAAAAATTCTTCACGACACTATCTGTCAATCAAAGTACCCCACCTTGCCTCCCCCCCTCTTCCAACCGCGCGGTCAGTCCCAACCCTCCCCCCCACCCCCCACCAATCCTCCCTTCAAGAGAAGGTTGGGTGAAAAAAATAAATTTTAACATTTTGTATTAAATAATACCTCAGATTAAAGTTAGGATAATATAATTGACATTGCTGGATTCCTTGTAAGACCAGGAATATTTTGAATATAAATGTCATATATTTTGCACAAAAGATAACATATTTACTAGAGAAAACATTTTATCTAAAATTTGTATGTCTAATGCAAAATATATGATGTTTATATTCAAAATGATCATCAAATTCTAAGAATTCCAGCAATGTAAATTATATTCTGACCGGGTAATTTGTATGAATTTTATGAGCTAAAACAAATATCTTCAGTTAATAAAAAAAAAAATATTCTTCACGGGGTAACAGATGGTCGGTCGGTCCCTCCCTTCCCCCCACCCCCCCACCAACCGTCCCAAGGAGATGTGTGGGGAAACCAGAATATTTAACTTTTTAGTAATAAATAATACCTCAAACTAAAGCTAGGATAATATAATTGACATTGCTGGATTCCTTGTAAGACCAGAAATATTTTGAATATAAATGTCATATATTTTGCACAAAAGATAACATATTTACTAGAGAAAACATTTTATCTAAAATTTGTCTAATGCAAAATATATGATGTTTATATTCAAAATGATCACCAAATTATAAGAATTCCAGCAATGTAAATTATATCCTGGCCGGGTAATTTGTATGAATTTTATGAGCTAAAAGAGGCAGTCAGGCAGGGTGGCGGGTGGGGCAAATCTAAAAATAGCGTCTCGAGCCGGACACTCACCGCGTATATGTGGAAAAAATCCGTGTTAAGTGAAAGTTCAGCTCTGGCGAGGCACCGCGTATATGAAAAAACGCGTTAAGTGAAACCGCGTTAGGCGGGGTAATACTGTAGTATAAACTTCTTGATATTTACTAAAATAGTTAGGAATTTAAGCCCTAGAACCGATTAATGTATTGGCGGACTGATACTAAAGCTGGTTGCCCGGCCAGTCCAAGCGAAAACATGTTGAGGTCGGTTCGTAAGAAATTCGTTAACCGAATTTTTGTTCGTTAACCGAATTGAAGATCCTTATGGATGGCAGTTCGTTAACCGAAATTTCGTTAACCGAGGCGTTCGTTAAACGAGGGGTCACTGTAGTGTTAAATCTGAGTGCGGCTGTGTAACCAGTGGGGTTCCCCAGGGGTCAGTACTAGGCCCACTCTTGTTCATAATCTACATAAACGATCTAGATACTGGGATCAGCAGTGACATAAGCAAGTTTGCGGATGACACCAAAATAGGGCGGCAGATTAATTCAGGGCAGGATGCAAATGCATTACAGGAGGATCTAAATAAACTGCAGGGGTGGTCTGAAAATGGCAAATGAAATTCAACACCAGCAAGTGCAGCGTGCAATATTGGAAGAACAAATACTGTCAATGTATACAGCCTTAACAACATCAACCTAGAGAAGTCGACTTGTGAAAGAGACTTAGGGGTACTTGTAAGACCGGACCTACGGCCTAGAAAACAGTGCGTTAATGTTCGAAATAAGTATTGGGTTTTATATCTAGAAGTGTAAGTAATAAGAGTGCAGAGGTCTTATTGCAACTATATCTTGCGCTAGTCAGGCCGCACCTCGATTATGCGGTTCAGTTCTGGTGCCCTTATTATAGAATGGATATCAATTCACCAGAGTCGGTGCAGCGAAGAATGACGAATGACGAAAATGATTCCGGGACTTAGAAACCTTCCATATCAGGATAGGTTAAAGAAACTAAACTTGCATTCCCTAGAAAGACGAAGAGTGCGGGGAGATATGATAGAGGTATTCAAGTGGGTGAAAGAAATCAATAAAGGAGATATAGATAAAGTTCTTATAATATCCGAGCAGGATAGGACTCGGAACAACGGATTCAAGTTGAATAAGTTCTGGTTTAGGAGGGAGATAGGAAGGAACTGGTTCACAAATAGGGTGGTGGACGAGTGGAACAAGCTTAGCAACTCTGTAGTAAGTGCTGGAATGCTGGAAAGTTTCAAAGGGAGGCTGGATAGATTCATGGATGATAGAGAGTGGTAGTAACTCTCGACAGGAGCTGCCATGCACAGGCCAGCCGGCCTATTGCAGACTCCTTATTTTCTTATGTTCTTATGTAAGTAGAGAAGTGAAGAGTGTAGTTTGAGGCATCTGAAGGTGAAGAGTAATGTAGGAACAATATTGGTGGAGGTAAGAGGTGAAAACTCAAGGTCATGAATTAGTTTTTAGAAATGTGGCTGAGTATGGATGGCAATAAGGATAAAATAAGGAACCGAATGAAAGGAAGACGACTTGGAGATGGTTTGAGAACCTCGGTTAATGGCTGGCAAGGGTGGGGGAACTATGGCCCCCTGTCGAGAGTCTTTAGGTTGACCACCGACCACATCAGAAATCAGTGGTTTTTTCCCCTCTCTCGTAAGGGGAGATTCAGTGGGTTGAAGAATTTATTCCAAGATTCAAATATACTTCCCAGGATTCATACACTATTATCACACTAACTCCCACACAAACATTAGAATCGAGCTACAATTTTTTGAAGTTTTTAAATTGGACTTACGTGGAGGGAGAGATGATGTAATATACAACCAGGGAAAATATCCATCTTATTTTGAATACAGTGATGTTAAAAGAAGAATTTTCCATTCTGTGGTTGATGCCAACACTAGGCATAGCCCTAAAAGTGCACCATACTGTTGGCAGCCAACACTAGGCATAGCCCTAAAAGTGCACCATACTGTTGGCAGCCAACACTAGGCATGGCCCTAAAAGTGCACCATACTGTTGGCAGCCAACACTAGGCATAGTCCTAAAAGTGCACCATACTGTTGGCAGCCAACACTAGGCATAGCCCTAAAAGTGCACCATACTGTTGGCAGCCAACACTAGGCATGGCCCTAAAAGTGCACCATACTGTTGGCAGCCAACACTAGGCATGGCCCTAAAAGTGCACCATACTGTTGGCAGCCAACACTAGGCATGGCCCTAAAAGTGCACCATACTGTTGGCAGCCAACACTAGGCATGGCCCTAAAAGTGCACCATACTGTTGGCAGCCAACACTAGGCATGGCCCTAAAAGTGCACCATACTGTTGGCAGCAGTTTAAATTACAGCACTTATACCCATTAAATCTACAAAGACTGTTATAACCATTGAAAATAATAGGTGATCATTAAGAACACTTATGATTTCAATGTGGCCCCCTGACCTAAAGTCTTCCCACACCTGCTGCACAATATGGACCCAGCCCTGAGGAAGGAACATCTCCTTGGTAGTTACACCTAATATACAGTACAGTACTGTAGGGTGTAAGTCATGCCTACAGGACCCACTTACACCAAAAAGGGTAATTGGTGGAGGACGTTAGGAGAGAGGACATGGATGAAACTGTGTGTTATGGTTGTGTACAATGTAAAGTAAAGGACTGCAGTAGATGGTAATTTACTAATAAGAGTTGGTGTTTCAGATGTTCTCCATAAATGACTAGTCGGTGGGTTCTGTGCTGACACAGTCACTCGAGTGATTGTGGAAACTAAGGTGATATGAGGCAGATCATTTTTTGGGGGGCTATAAGTAAGGTCAGGTAATGGTGATATGTTTGGGATATTTTATGCACTTAATACAATATTTTCACACAACCTATAGAAATATTTTGTCATTTATAAGTGATTTATAGTATATATCACACATCACTTACTGCAGTTATTACCGACACTTCATCACACTGGGCTCATTATTACCAACACTTCATCACACTGGGCTGATTATTACCAACACTTCATCACACTGGGCTCATTATTACCAACACTTCATCACACTGGGATCATTATTACCAACACTTCATCACACTGGGCTGATTATTACCAACACTTCATCTCACTGGGCTCATTATTACCAACACTTCATCACACTGGGCTCATTATCCCCAACACTTCATCACACTGGGCTCATTATCCCCAACACTTCATCACACTGGGCTCATTATCCCCAACACTTCATCACACTGAGCTCATACAAACCCAGTGAGATAAATTCATCACACTGAGCTCATACAAACCCAGTGAGATAAATTCACCAATAATTAACAATAACACAACATGATCAAAAAGCATCGTGGGACTACTGATGGTTATACAGTAGACCCTCGACAACTATGCATGGCTATGGTCTCGGAAGGTATGAGTATAACTCGGGAAATGCTGAGATATATCAAATTATCTGGGAAAATCTCTGCATATCTGGTCACCTGCAGCACCAACAATGCCTGTGTCACCTACCATGCCTGTGTCACCTACCATGCCTCTGTGTCACCTACCATGCCTCTGTGTCACCTACCATGCCTCTGTGTCACCTACCATGCCTTCCCAGTTGGCCCACCATGCCTCCTGTGTCACCCAACCATGCCCTGTGTCACCCACCATGCCTCCCAGGTCACCCACTACACCTCTGGCCACCTACCACCTCTGTGTCACCTACCATGCCTCTGTGTCACCTACCATGCCTGTGTCACCTACCATGCCTCTGTGTCACCTACCATGCCTCTGTGTCACCTACCATGCCTCTGTGTCACCTACCATGCCTCTGTGTCGGGGAGTGCCTCGATAAGTCAGAATTTGGGATAACTTGGAAAGGCCAGAGCTTCACATATGCCAAGTTATTGAGGGTTTACTGTACTCACAAAATACTGTACAGTTAAGAATGCAGTGTACTGGTAAATGATTCTCTATTACAAACAAAGATAACCATAGAGGGTGTGGTAAACATCACAAGTGGAGGACAACTTTATACAGTGTGTCATAACTAAGACTGTGTCCATCAGGCAATACTACAAGTGTGCCTGGTGACATCATCTCTAACTACTGTACTGTACTAGGAGCCACAGTGGTCACACCCAGGGTCCCACACCACCACTCTTATGGGCCTCAACACAAACATATGGATACAAAAAGTGTAAGTCGGGAACACCGATGCTCGGGAAACTACTGCTGGTACACTCAAAACACGTCAAGTTGACCAACATAAAAAGCGGGGGAATAAGTTATAACTATACAACTGGTCCATCGCTTGTGTCTGGTGGAGGATTGTGACCAACAGTTTTACTGGATGGCTCCTGGGCCACCGCAGGTGATGACAACTCTGACGAACTTGTGTCAACTTCACACTTCTGAGCTTCATAACTCTTCAAAAACTTGTCTGCCATCTGAAGAGCATATCTGTGTCCCTCAGACTGTAGATGATACATCGTGTGACGAATGGCATTACTCCAGTCCTGAAGAGGCTTGCTGACGAGAATGGCGTCAATGTTCTGGAACGCCACGCAGGGGGCACAGTAGAGGCCGTCCTGAGCCACACTGTATCGCAGCATAGGATACTGCGGGTTGTTGAACAACTTCTCCGGCACACGCCTTCTGTACTTGCCAAACTGCCGCTGTGGAGGTTTCCAATGTTTGTGTGGAAGAAACTTAGTTGTTAGAATCATTTTGATGAGAGGGGCAGAAAACCTTTTTGGATAAGACAAGTCGAGAGTTCCAATGTCAACAAACGATGATTTGTGTGAACTGGCTGCCTCTAGTATGTCAGTAAGTACAAACTTCTCATTCATTGGCCTTGTTTGGGACGGATCTTCTGTCTGTTGAGAGATATGAACAATTTCAGTTACCTGTGAAGAGTTTTTCAAGTGCTATTAACAGCAGACCTCACAGCACTTTCTCACTCTGGAATCATTACTGTGAGCTCATAATTAAATAGGGTGGGGAGGGGCTAGTCTGTGTGTGTGTGTTGGGGCCGCATACTCAAAAACATTTACGGGACTGTATTATCTTTGTTGACCCCGTAGCTGGACTTACAGTCTCCGATCGGTATACTCAAAACCAATATTTGGCAGCGGACTCCGTACTCTAGCCCCTAACATACATCACCTCCTTAGACGCTGTAACACAATCAACCCGGATATAGTACATCGCTACTTCCCGATTGCATAAAATAATAATAATAATATACTGTATGTTGTAATAATACTTGTTTGACTTGATTTATCATAGAATAATGAAGAAAATGTTTTGTACATCAACAGTTTGTTTTCTTAGTTCATTTTTTTATGATAACAAGAGGCTCAAGTGTTTCTATTTGTTGGTGGATCTTTTGCCTTCTTACAACTTATCAAGTAATTTGTACCAAAATAGAAGATTTTAAAATGTCCACATTTATGGTACAAATATTTGTTATGACTGAGTAAACTTGCAGATAGACCTTATTAATGTGGCATAGCCGTAGATATCTGTCAGTAACTAGAGCCAAATATGAGGTCAAGTGAACATTTTTGCCTAGACTCCGCCTTTGTTAGGACCAAGTTATAACAAGTTATTCTGCCAAGTATCCAATAAGTCCCCATGACTCAGAGTTAAATAATACCTAACCTAACCTAAGTTCATCAAACCTAATAAAAGAGAGAGGGGGGAATTAAGTGATAAATAATTTTTTTTACTTCAATAAAGAATTATGTTCATAAGTTTTTCATCCGATACATTCAGGAGTGATTTTTTTGGCTGCAAAATTAGTAAATGTATCTCACCCTAACAAAACCTAACCTAACCTAATGTTACCTTACCTTATCTAACCTAACCTAACATTACCCGACCTAACCTAAGAGAGCCGCAACGCACATGACAAACAATTAAGTTCTCTAGAAAAATTTCAAATTCTTTTCTAAAAAACACATTTGCAGACACAACCAACTTTTTATAATAATTTTTCCAACATGTCTATGAATCTGTTGATGATATATACATGTAACTTAAGATGACACTATTATGGGTTTTAACCTTTATGCATTTTAAATTTAGGTTAGGTTCAGTAAGGCATGTTAAGGTTAGATTAAGTTAGGTGGTTAATATATAGGACTAACCTGCAAACGAGTTATTTGTATTATTAATTTTATTATTTTATTTTCATCAGTGAGTTCTGATATGGTAATCTTTTCTTGTTCAAATGTCTCGCTTTGTAGATAATTAGGGTGAAAGATGTGCACTAATTTGTCTTCCCAGCAGTAATGAGCCTACGCTGTACTGTGGTGCTTTTCCCCGGGCTCATGGCAGTTTCATTTTCAGCATGACGCGTGAAGGTTGTTGCCGGTCTTATATGGACACAAATTGTGAATTTAAAGAAAAAGACAACGAGACCCTTCAATTGTTCAAAGACCACGGCATTGTTCCGTTAAATAGAGACGGTCCACACTGCGGGAATCCCTGTTCCTTCAGACCGAAAAGAAATTTGTTCATCACTTCCTCAAAGCTCGACGTTTCCCGCCGCCACAATAAATCACTCTGTCGCCCGGGCTACACAAACGCCGATGCAGCCGTATCAATTTACGTATAAAAAAAATACCTCAAAGTCCCCTGGTAAGGAAGTTGGGTAAGGTTGGGCAGGTTTTTTGGTTAGGTTGGTTAGGTCTGTTTTTCATACCAACAAATGTTAAGTTACGTTAATCTTAGAAAGATCCATTTTTGAACACATTTGCACAAACTACAACAGTGTCCACTATAAAAAAAAACCACAGTGAAAGTCCGGCGTTTATATATTCGTTTTCAATCAATTTCGCCTGCGGGTTAGTCCTGAAAAATTACTGGTTAGGTAAAGGTTATGTTAAGTAAAGGTAGGTTAGGTAAGGTTAGGTAAAGATTAGGCTAGGTAAAGGTAGGTTAGGTAAGGTTAGGTAAAGATTAGGCTAGGTAAAGGTAGGTTAGGTTAGGCTAGGTAAAGATTAGGCTAGGTAAAGGTAGGTTAGGTTAGGTTCGGTAAAGATTAGGTTAAGTTAAGTTGGGTTAGGTTAGGGTAAGGTAAATTTCACTAATTTTACGGCTCCCAAAAACATGACCACTGATTTTATTAAACCAAAAACCTATGAAAAAATACTTTTTGTAAGAAAAATGTGATGTGTGTTATGCAACTCCCTCTTTTTGTCTACAGTATATATATATATATATATATATATATATATATATATATATATATATATATATATATATATATATATATATATATATATATATATATATATATATATATATATATATATAATTGTATATATACAGGGGTATGCTATAAATTTAAACGATCCTACTACGAATATTCCTATAACGAACGGTTTTACCTATAAAATTGAGAATGCTATAACGAACGCAACTCCTACAACGAACGCGGATGAATACGGGACTATTTCGCCTGGCGCATGAATATTGTTGTACCGCGACCCACAACAAGAGCGTCAGGCGCCATCTTTGTCTCATTGTGTAGCCAGTGCACCACTGTTATTGTTGAAATTTCGTCTTTTGATGTGGAAATTCGCGTTATTTGTATAACTATTTTGTTATACAAGCATACAATTGTAACAATGAGTCGTCCAAAGCGAGTGAGAAAGCTAATAACCCTTGAAACTAAGAAAGAAATTATAAAGAAACGTGAGAATGGAAGAAGCATTGCGAAACTTAGTGATGAATATGGGATGGCTAAATCGACTATATGTACGATTTTGAAGAATAAAGAGGAGTTAAAAACTGTGCAAGTGGCTAAGGGAATCTTTAGACTTAGCAAAGCAAGGTGTAATGTGATTGAAGAGATGGAAAATTTACTCTTAGTGTGGATAAAGGAGAAAGAAATGGCAGGTGGTAACATTAGTGAAGCTATAATTTGTGAGAAGGCTAAACAATTGTTTGAGGACCTTAAAGCCAAGACTCCCAGTGGAAGTGATAGTGCTGTGCCAGTGTTTAGGGGTACCTGCATGCTGAATAACACTAAGGTAAGATAAAGTACCGTATTTTTTACATTTTCCACAGAATTTTTTCAGTGTTAAGCGGTTGTATTTGGGGGCCTGGAACGGATTAATCCTATTACGAACGAATGCTATAACGAACGAGATTCTGGAACCAATTACGTTCGTTATAGCATACCCCACTGTATTGGCTTATTTTGGTCATAGATTAGCCATTAACCTCAAGTATTACTCAAACATAATTCCATCGCCACTAATGATGCTTGAAGTACATCTAGCAACTATGACTGGCGTTGATTTCAGCTGATTTCTCCTTCTCTTGTGATTGGTTGATGATTTTGTTAACTGAGCGACGATTGGCCAACGAGCTCCTGCACTGCCATCTACCTTCAGACAAGAGAACTGAATTTACAGGGTAAACACTAGAGTTACGGACTGCTTACAGGACTACAATTAAATTTTGAGTATGAGAAATTTAGGGGACCGTAAGAAGTCTGTAAGTTAAGGTACTGTATCTCTGCTACTGTACGTAACTGATGAGGTGTTTTGAGTATGCGGCCCCTTAGTGTACAATGTTTCAGAACACAAGTACAATACTGTACATGCACCTTTCAGCACAGGTACACAACAGCAATGTTCAATAAACTCACAAATAAACTCTTGACCAAAAGAACTGTCCACATCATAAGAGAGGCAACAGCCTATTGTATACTATTGACTACAAACAATCTACAGTTGTTAATAACGAGAATTACTGCCTAGATACAGAGCAGAGTAGAGTACAGCACAGTACAGTACAATAAAAGCCATAGACAATATAGTGTAGAGTAAAGTGTGACCACAGGTCTCACCACTGAACCATAGCATACCAAGACCTATCTGAAAGGTCACATCTCCCCTTCATCACAGGTGGGACAAACACCCACACAGGATCGACCCAACCAGGAGCCACTTCACAGATTATAAGTCAAACAAAACATAAAAGAAAAGATACACAAACTGAGAACGATGAACCAAAACACAATGTTATCAACCGAGGTTAATGTAATGCTCCAGGGTGGAACATTTACCTCACAAACATAACTGACAGTAACACATCAACTGTAACACATTTCCGTATGTGTTGTTACTGTAACACTCAGTCCTGTTATAACAATACACTACACTACAGTATGAGTCACTGGTGTACACACAAATACTATAATAATACAAATACTTAAGAGGTTTTTATAAAACTCACATAACCTTAAAAGAAACACAATGGAAGGATATACTGTACAGTACAGTAATGGAAATTGTCCTTTATGTGGTACAGTACAGTATAGTACAGTACAGGACAACAGAGTACAGGACAGGACAGGACAGGACAGGACAGGACAGGACAGGACAGGTGTTGTTGATGCACGATGTGTTGTCAGCTGTTGTTGTTCACCTTGCTCATCTTCTTCACCTCTTAATTGAGTAACTTTTATGAATGCTTCGTACTGTAGACTCGTTTAAGCTTCTGCCAAACCTCTGTGACATTTCCCTGGCGGCCTTGACGGGACCCATCTTGCAGCAGGCCTGGTAGATCTGCAGACGCTGCGATGGCGTCCACAGTATACACTTGCGGCGGCTTCTGCCCTTCGGTAAACTGCCATCGTTTTGAACCTGTTGATTGATGGTGTTGGTCAGTTTCATTCTTCAATGACATCAGCCGAGTGTGAGGAGCTGAGATGCGTCCTGTCACCCCTGTGTACATGTTATACTGTACAGTACTGCACCATGAGAGCACTGTACACTACTATCTCTCATCTCCTTTCCTCTCACTAACTGTCCACTGTTTCTGATGACAGACTGTACATACACCCTGAGTATTGTTC